AGCCCTTCTAATAAATAGTATAGCCGCTCGGCTATGTTCTGGGTTTTTTCTAGTAAAGAGAGTATAGCCGGCCGGCTATAAAAAAAAAAGTATAGCCGGCCGGCTATTAAAAAAAAAAAGTATAGCCGGCTATACGACTATGGGTGCGGCGCAAGGCGGCCATAAATAGTATAGCCGGACGGCTATACTGGGATTTATTTTATAATAAAAGTAGTATAGCCGCCCGGCTATACTCTTTTGACACGTGGCCAAGCAGCGTTAGACCCCAGGCGGTCTCCCTTTTTTTTAAATAAATCGTAGAGCCGCACGGCTTTACCTAGTGTTTTTAAAAAAATAAAAGGAGTATAGCCGCACGGCTAGACTCGGGATATTTTTTTTCCCATAAAAAAGAGTATGACAGAACTGCGGTTTTGTTTTTTAATAAATAGTATAGCCGATCGGCTATACGCTTTACATACGACTTCATTTTCCCTGTCAAATTTTAAAAAATTTATATATATTTTTCCCCAATTTTTGTTTATCGATAATGATAGTTTATAGCCTTATGCATTACTATTAGGCCATTATCCGAGCCTCTATTGTCTCCTTTTGAGTTTTTACTTTTCCAGAGCTATTACTTGTATAAAGAATTTAGCATTTTCATGTACGTATATATTTTTCATGTTTAATACACTCGTTTTTTACAAAATTTTCAATTATACACCCAAAATTCAGGTATTATACACATAATTTTAGCATATTATTGAATACCAATAATATATATTAAAAAGAATTCGAGTCTGGGTTTTCTGACCTATCAGTTTGCTTGTCTATTTTAGCTACCGATTATACTACGGATTGAGCTAGTGTTTCTCTTGGCTTTTGCTTCAGCCTTTTGTTTGACAAAACCATCTCTGCACTCTTTCGAAGTGATGGCTTTTACTGAAGAAACTCTCCAAAGAGAATGAGAAGGCAAGGGACCAAAGCCGCTAAAGCCTTTTGGCCTGAGGTTTTGGTTCGTAGGGAAAACGGAGGGAAGCGTAGTCGATTGAACGACGTCGTACTGTTGCACGGTGATTTATTTTGGGCCGAAACCAATGGTGGATTCAGAGTGGTGGTTCGGTGCGTGGGCCTGGGCTTGACATTTTGAGCCTGGGAATGCGGAAATCATTTTATAGTGAGGACCTTATTCTAAGGCTCTTAGATGAAGCTCTATCTCTTAACTTTTAAGAAATAGAGTCTTAGATAAGCCCTCACTATAGAATTCTACGAGAATGTGGACACTTACATTGTTTTCAATTTTTTTTGTTCAAAGGCTTATATTGTCTTAGTTAGGTTCTTATTTTTGTTAGGCAATTGCTATGGGCACTTCGAAAAACTCAGCATAATTTTTTTTTGGTCTTATCTTTTTTATAAAGGAGGAAGTGTTCGTAATAAATTTTTTGGCATACCAATAACAAACTTCATTGTATTATACTTCAAGGACCAAGAGTGACTTTTAGCCTTCCTTCTTCCTGAACAATATTCTCCAAGCACAAATTTCCAATTTCTTATTGGTTGTTTCCTTTCAAGAAACACAAACACAAATAATAGAGTATAATTGTTGGGAATTTACAAGTCCCATTAAGTTTGTTGCAATTTCAACCCTTCTCTTAGTTCCAAAACTTTAAAAAATAAAAGATATTATACAATTATGTGGTTTTATACTATGTTAATGATGTGCAGAATGATCCTAAAAGCTACTGCATGGCAAGCACAACTCTTATTTTTATTTTTTATTTTTTGGGTCAAAGTTAGTAAGGGAGAAGTCAAAAGCCATAAAATATTGGCTCATCTGAAAGTAGTGAAGTTAGAAGAAGGATTTACAAATCAAGAGAATGAGAAAGGATGCGTAAGAAGGGATCTAGTTACAGTGGAGCCACTAATCACAGCAGCGTCAAGTGATAATTGCTTAGGGAGAGGCCAAAGAGTTTGAGCAAACCATGGAAAGGATGCAAAACAAGTGTTCCCTTGTGTTTTTGGAAGAAGCAAAAGATATTAATGAGTTGTGCACAAAACTTCTTCATATGGGTCTAAAGATTTACTATAATTCCCATAGATGTTTTGAAATTTGTGGTTCTGAACATATTTTCATCTTTTAAACATGCTTTTCATCAATCGGCCACCACAACCCATGTTTTTGTTTTCCCAGTGTAAAAGTAGATGATACCAGATCAATTTGAAGCAGAAGTTTATAAAACAAACAATGCATTTCCAAAGATTTGAAAAGACAAACCAACTAGCTGAGTTCTACTCTCCTCACCAAAACAAAACACTAGTAAAAGTAAAACCTACAACAAAAGTACATGAAACATGACTTGATCATTCAGTTCCCATGAGCCCCTTCAGTTGAACAAACATGTGCATCCTTAAATTTTTAACCAAGCAAGGACAACTGTCTAAAAATCATTATTGGGTAGTGGTTCGTGCCCCCCATCACCAATGAAGATGTTGTCATAGACAAGAGCTGCAATGGCAGCACCAATCAATGGGCCAGCCCAATAGACCCAGTGGTGAGACCATGACCAGCTGACCACAGCAGGGCCAAACGACACTGCTGGGTTCATGGATGCACCATCAAACGCACCGCCAGCCAAAATGTTGGCACCAACAATCAAACCAATTGCGATAGGTGCAACAATGCCTACATTGCCCTTCTTTGGATCAACTGCTGTGGCATACACTGTGTAAACCAAGCCGAAGGTCATCACAATCTCAAACACTAGAGCATTCCATACTGACACACCAGACGACAGAGAGAATGCTGCCGTTTCCTGCAGGGGTTAAATGAATAATCAAAACGTCAAGTTAGGGACACGTAAAATCAATAAATTATCTTGGACAACAAAAGTTATGCTAGCATCAGTCGATTGTGTGTGAGCACGTAATGCTACCACGGTCATTGATGTAGATGTGCTAGCATCACGTGTTCGCGCTCATGTTGACCAACAAGTTACTTACCCATCCACCGGTGGCAAACTTGAGTAGCAAGCAAGCAACAACTGATCCAAGCAACTGTGCAATCCAATACAAAATGCCTCTCAACAGAGTTATGTTGCCACCAATGAAAGCGCCAAATGTGACAGCAGGGTTTACATGACCCCCGGAAATGTTTGCACCCACAGAGACCGCAACAAAAAGTGCAAAAGCGTGTGCCAGTGATGCAGCTACAAGCCCAGACGGTGTGGTTGATCCGTTGTCAGTTAGCTTGTCTGCCAAAATTAATCAACTTCCCTTGATTAGCCGATTGAATTAGAAAGCGAAAAAAAAAGGTGAGATAATCACATACTTTGAGAAAGGCATGTATCAAGCTAACATTTATCTCTCTCACGTATCACACAAGTAAAGAAAGTATAAACCAATCCATGTTGACGTGAAAAGTGATCACGAACGACGACGTTGAACAATCAAGTCGTCAAGAAATGAACGAACAATGTGTATCATGGCAAGAGTAACAACAATTTTGTAGACAAAGATATTGAAATTGTGAAATTGATGGGTCTTACTGAAAGCCATGCCAGAGCCTTCCCCAGCAAACACAAAGATGAGCGTAGAGAAAAACTCAGCAAAGGCAGCCCTTATGGCATCAGGGTGGCTTGCCTCTCCTGGCGTCCCAACTGCAATTTTATTGATTGGCATTTTCTTCAAATTCCTCTTTCAAATCCCTTTTTTTTCTCTGTGTAGCTCTTAGCTTCCACTGTCGACTGCTTTGCTTTACAAGTATAGGATTTGCCCTATAAATACCTGAAACAACGGCTATGGAACGGGTCTAGCCGGTCAGCGGTAAAAAAAGATGTAGTAAATCTGTAGGGCCAGTGAGCGACGAGAGTGGTGTGGGTTCTTCTCGATGCCACATGTCGGTCGCTTTACAGCTCATGAATGCGACGCGTCGTTCGTCCTGGTACGGCTCTCCCACGTTTGTGGTGGTGATGAAATTTCATTACGGCTGAATCGGCAAAAAGAGTAGCCCGAGGAGATTTAGGATCGCCGTCCAAGTGACGTGGCGGGCCCCGCTTGATGATTGTGTAGTGGTTATGCGCGCGAGCGAGAAATGGCCGGCGAGTTTTTGGAGCGGGACGAACCGACGTTTGACTATTCAAAACGAGTGTCGTTTTCGTAGCGCGGCGGTGGGTCCCTGCAGGAAAACTTGCGTCGTCATGGTCCCACAACGACCGAATTGTTTCAATCGTGATGTGTCGTTTGTATATAAAAATAATGTTAATTAGATTCTTAATTATGTTGTTAATTTTTTCAATGTTGAGTTGAGTCTTATATTATTATATTATTAGAAGGCCCATGAACATTATTAGTTCCACTAAAAATGAGAAAATTCTTTTTGGGGAAAAAGTTGGAAAAATAAATTGCTTATTAATTACAACGTTCCAAACTAATATTCTGTATGCCGACAAAGGAGGTACACCAATTTATTTGTTATAATTGGACCGACCAATTCTTGGATGTTAAGGCTAAGTGGAGGATTTGTTTTATCATGTGGATCATTTTGCATCATATCATTGCATGATTGAAGTTTATTTTATTGCAAACTCATTCTCTCATGTTTTTCTTGTTCAATATTCTAAACTAGTCTAATATAAAGGGAGGGATCAAACACGAGTGTAAAGGACCAAACACGCTATTTTAATCAAATAACCTAACCAACGTCTGCCTCTCTCTCACTTCTGGAAGGATATAACTTTATTTTTCTGGCCCATTTCAACTTAATTGGGTTGAACTAAGATATTGGCTTAGTGTTGGCCTCCAAGTTGCTGGATCATAACACAGGCCCAACACACTCATAAAAATTTAGAAAAAGAAAAAAAGGTTAACTGAAAATAGGAAATCAATCAAATAGGGTATGGAAATAGACCATCAATTCAGATTTTCATATTTCCTTTGCATTTTAATCTGCAAACAATAATATCATATAAATCATGAAACTAAGTGAGAAGCGAAAAAAAAAAAAAACTATATTGGTACGAGTATGTGTGTGATCATAGCTCACCCTCTTTGATAATTTTATCTTCCCCTTGGATCCAACAACTCAGAAAACACAGCACTTGATGTTGCATCAGATTCTTGATCACTCATTTTGGGGAGCCATTCTGGCGTGTATGGGATGTAATTTGCACTGTTCTCAGATGAAACAGTTTGTATAGAAGCCTCTTGTAGTTGAAGAACATACTCCAAATTCCACAGAACATCTCCCATTGTTGGCCTATCAACTCCATATTCAGCCAGGCACTTCTCTGCTGTTTCACCAAATTTTCTAAGAGAATCAAGATTGACATGTCCTCCAAGATGGGGGTCTATAATCTTTTCTAGTCTTCCCTTCTTTTGCCAACTCATAGCCCATTCTGCTATATTAACCTGTTCTCTAGGGAGGGCAGGGTTTATAGGTGGCCTAGCACATAAGACCTCTAACAGAACTACTCCAAAAGAATACACATCTGACTTCTCCGTGAGCTGCTGTCGACGATAGTAATCCGGATCAAGGTAACCAAAGCTACCCTTCACTGCAGTGCTTACATGTGTTTGATCCAATGTAGGACCTAGCTTTGACAATCCGAAATCAGCCACTTTTGCAGTGAGGCTTTCATCAAGAAGTATGTTGGTTGTTTTAACATCGCGGTGAATTATGCTCTCTGCTGCTCCTGTGTGAAGGTAATGCAAGCCTTTTGCAGCTCCAATGCAAATTTCAAGCCTATGTTTCCAAGAAAGCGGAGAAAGATTCGAACCATACAAGTGATTTCGCAGAGGACCCTTGGCCATATACTCATAAACAAGGATCATCTCATTGAGTTCCTCACAGTAGCCTATCAGAGAAACCAAATGCCTGTGCCTGAGCTTTGATAGCATGTCAATTTCTGTCCTGAATTCAATAAGTCCCTGTTGTGACCTTGGATTTCCACGCTTCACTGCAACCACAGTCCCATTTTCTAGCACTCCCCTGTAAACCTTTCCAAATCCCCCCACTCCCAAAACCAAGCTCTTGTCAAAGTTCTTCGTTGCTTCACGAACCTCCGAGAAAGCCAGAATGCGGCCTAAACTAAGAGAATGTGCTGTGGAATCATAACTGCAAATGGAAACTTTTGAATCAGAAATCCCCAAATGGCTAGGTAATGACATCCAGGCTGAGCACTGAGGCTTCAGCTTCTTTTGATGGATTTTACGCCAATACAAATAGAAGGCAGCTGACATGAGCACCAAAACTACAAACCCTGCTGCTGAAGAAGAAATTGCAAGCAGCATCCACTTTTTCTTGCCTGCAAGTGATCTTGTGTCCATTTTATGATTCCCTGGAAGATTCCCATGAAGGCTGTCTCTATGATTGCTCATTTTCATAATCTCCAAACCATTCAAGATTGCATTGGATGGGAGGTCTCTTAACGTAGGAGGACCTACTTGCACCAAAATCCGATTTGAGCCCATCGAAATATTTGTCACAAAGTCTATGAAGTAAGCTGCTGATAATGCCATTGTCCTGCTTGAGATGTCAAAATAGTCTAGAGCAGATTTTTGGTTGATATACACATTGAAAACCAAACGATTGAGAGCAACACTTACAATGTCACAAAAATGCAATCTGATAAGATAGCTGAAGCCATGCTCAACTTCAAATGCCCATGAAATGTTAAATTTCTGATTGCTGACCTGTGCATCCGCCATCTCTTGAGCTGTGGCATAAACCCAATTTGGTGCAATTTCAACTGAAACTCCATCAGAGTATTTGATTCTGCTGGGATTGGCTGTAACGTTCCGGGCCGCAGCAGCATTGACAAGAAAAGCATGGTCTGGATCCCATGTCCTCCACAGTGAGTCATTCTTGGGGGTTATATGTTGACCTCCCATGTTTATCCTATAAGCCGTCTCGAAAGTGACATGTTTAGGAACATCAACTGCAGGCCCCAATGGAACAGGCATTACTTTGGTACTTGGGAATTGCCCATCAGGCACAGAAACAACCTCTATCCCATTGATAAATGCAATTGAACCATTCCAAGGTGACAATGTAAGAACCAGTTTCTTAGAACTTGTTCCATCGACTTCAAAAACATATTCCTTCACTAGATGAGAGGTTTTGCCAACTTCCGAAAAAGAAAACCCATGAAGCAGTGTAATTCCATTAGCCACAACAGAGAAGACTGCAGATTTCAAATTGAACTTTGGGTTCTCAAAAGGGTAAAAATGCAATCTAAGCCAATGACGACCAATCTGCTTAGTGTTAACGGTATAAGATGAAGTTTCTCTAAAAACCTGGGCAGAAGTATAGAGATTTGAGTGGTTTGACAAACTGGTTTCATGATCTGAAACTGCAGTGTGGCCTTGTGAAGATAAAGTAACATGTGGGTTCCCAGAATCAGGCTGAAAAACCCTGCCATCCCCAAACTCCACTGCCTTGCTTCCCCCACAATCAATAAAGAATTGATCTTGAGGAACAAAAGAAGCATATACAAATACAACCGATGGGATTGATGAAAAACAAAGAACAATGCAAATCAAGGAAATCCCATTTAGACAACCCATTTTTGTATACAGAAATGAGAAATATTTCTACTAATATCACTAGGAGGACATAGCCTGTAACCTTGCCTTGATTTTGGTATGTAAATGCTGTGTATGCACAAACTTCATCTTTAGAATTAAATGAAAGCAGAGCATACCTGTTCTTCAATCTACTTGGGGAAGAACTAACAATAATAAGGCTGGGATTCTGTGGAAGGAACAAAAACACAATATGAGAGAGAGAGAGAGAGAGAGAGAGAGAGTTTTCTGAGTGGAAGAGGAAAAAGAGGCAGTTTGGGGTTGTGTTGAAGGGATGATAGTGAGTGAAGATGCTGTTTCCAAGGTCTAGCCAGTGACTGTCTAATAAAGAATATTAAAATACAGTTAGACATATTGTCAGATTCAAGTCTAAGTTTCATAAATGTGTTAAGTGTGATGTGTCTTTCTTGAAATCATTAAACCCTCTTCCAGAACTTAGATCTTCCCTTTCTTTAAGGCACCATCCACAAGATTCTCTGTTTTTTTGTTTTGTTTTTTTTCTCTAATTCAGTCAGCAGATTCCCTGTTGAGTGTTGACCAACTGTATTCTGCTTTCATTTGCAAACCATTTGCTGCTCCCAGACCAGGCTTAAAGATTCAATATATTATTATGCAGCTACAGTAATAAATAAATAAATAATGATTTGTTGCATGTGATCTGATTAAATTAGTTTAAATTAAGCTACAAAAAAGCTGGTGCTCAACAGAAGCATGGCAATTTTGTTCAAGTGTGATCTTGGCAAAAAATAATTAATGATGATCACATGCTCCTCCCCTTGGTTTGATTTAAGTAGTGGTCCTCTTTCTAATGTATTCATCCTATGCCCAAAATTTATTTATAGTTTACAATGGAGAACATGAATACCTCTGTCCATTTTTTAAAAAAGGGAACATAAAATCCACAATTTGGTTAATAAACCTTTTTTAAGTGTTGGAAAAGAAGGTCAGAAATTCATCATATTTTATTTTGTTTTTTCTCATCTTGGGTAACCAAAACTCATACATTCAAATGCCAAAAAGACCAGTCCTTGATGGGTAAATTTAAAAACTGAATGAGCATCTGTTCAAAGAAAAAAAAAACACTGAATGAGCAAACCACAATAAAGAGTTTCAAGATAACTGAAATATTCATATTCAATTAATAAAAAATACATCTCATTAACTAATCTAGCCACATAATCACAATAAATCTTCACGTGACGAGAGATATATTCACATATAACTATACTAAATTAGATGTACGAGAGACACAAAGATTATATCTCTCATAAGATAACGAGTATATTTTTTCTTGAAATGTTTTGAGTCGATTAGTGGATTTTTTCTAGAAATGTTCGAGTCATTTTCTGTAAATTCTTTAACCCAGAGAGATGGTACGACACTGCCTGAACGGTGAGGTCACGGTGGTGCTCTAGCAGCTTCAGAATGCCCTTTGCGGTTGCCTTTCCAAGCCCACCCAACTGGATCACTGCCTCCACCAAGTCCTCGTGATACACCGGCGTCCATGAAAACGACAAGTACTTCGGTGTCCATGAAAACGACAAGTCCTCCTCCTTATTAATGTTAAGCCGTTCAAAGTCTCTCATCAAATCACTGTGACTACTGGCTTTCTGGCAACTCTGAAAACGCTCAAAGAGCTTGATGTGGCGCAAGAGAGTTGAGCGGGGAATAAGCCTAAAGGCCTCGTTGTTCATGAGCTCCACAATCAGGATCGTCCTCCTGGGTGTACGAACTGTGAGATCTCCCAAACATAACCGGTTCATGGTGTCCACGAATTGCTTGTGGTGCTCCAGCGTCCACTCGATTGCTTCTACCCTACTTCTTCTTTGTGTATGTGGCCTCCTCTGGTAATTTCTTTCCAACCCCTCATCATGATTTTCTCCGTCCACTTCCATCATGATAATTTTGATCTCTCAATTAGAAAATTAGGTTAGGCTAGGAAGGAAGTCCCTGTTTATATAGTGCTTAGGAAAGCACGTCTCTTGTCACGCAAGTCATAGGCAAAATCTCCCATTCCTATTAGGAAACTAACCAAACCTTTCCAACCATAATTGAGTATGGGCCAGTAACCCGGCATCAATGTGTCAATTGCGCCGACCTGCACTAAATATGGGGTTGGGCCCAACCCCTCTCTAATACTCCATTTTTTAAATTGCAAATACTTTAGAAATACTTTTTTAAAAATAAATAAAAAATTATTATCGAAGTGAGATAACTTCATTGAAACAACAATGTCATAGTACAAAAAGAAGACTGGACTTCAGTAATGTAACAAGTGTGGCCTCATTAAAACCTTGCCTTTAAAAACCCCCAAATAGGGGAAAATTTGGTCAAGGAAAAAGAATATCACTACATCACATCGTGTAAAATTAAATTAAGAAAATAATTTATCATTGACCAAAACATCAGAAAATCCATGAAGGACCATCCTCTAACCACACTTGATAGTCCTGAGACAGGATCGCCTGCTTAGCCAATATATGAGCAACCTAGTTACACTCCCGAGGAGCAAAGTGACGAGAAATATTAGCAAAACGATTAAAAAGGCCCCTGACTTCATCCACTAAAGCACCCTCTACCGACCAACTTTGCTAATAAGTTTGAAGATTCATAACAATCTCTTTGGCATCCATTTCCAAAATGACAGAACGATGGCCCATTTGACTTGCAATATGTAATCCCATAATTGCTGCATAAAGTTCAGTAGCTTTAGGAAAAAACATGCCATGAAGACCTTTATAGGCAGCCAACATTAAATCACCCATACTATCTCGTATGACAACCCCAAAACCTTAAAACCAATTAGCAAATTGACAGCACCATCAACATTTATCTTCACAAAATTACCATTAGATGGAGACCAATGCCGCACAATATTAATGTCTTCTCATGTTCCTACTTTAGAAATACTTATATTGAAATAGACAAATAGACGTTCATAATTTCTTTAAGAAAAACTAGCCTCTCCTCATGCACGAAAATTTAAATTTATTTTAGAATTAAAAAAGATAATGGGGTTTTTTTTTTTTTGGGTATGATAATAATGAGTAGTTGTATTCCATTAAAATAAGATTCATTATCTGATTTTTTTTTAAATTTCAATTTTTTAAATATGAAAAAGTGTGAATTTATCATATTACTCTCATTTAATTAATAATTTTAATTCTTAATGTTCGGATTAACCAATGACATTTTCTGATATTTTGAATGTTCACCATTTTATACCTTTTAATTTATTAAGAAAAATATAAAATAAATACTATCAAGCCTTCTTTTTAGTCACGTGCATGTCCCGTGTAAGAGCTCGCCGGGCCAGGGTCCACTCAACCCCCATCAAAAAGCCGAACTGAAAGCTTGAGTCTCCACCATCCACTTCTTACAATCAAATATGGCAATTTCGTCATCTCTCTCACTGAGCTGGGTCTCCACTACCATTCCTGACAAGGTAAACGCACCAAGTTTATATCTTTGAGCGATCTTCATTAAGACTAATCCCTGTATTTGTTTTTGCACCAGTTTCAATTAACTCTGCCTAATCACAACAATGAGTTGCCACGAGCTACCACCACTGCTTATTTTTCTTCCAAAAACATCACATGCTCACCCGAGCCAGCCTCCATTGATGAAAGTAAGATTACCCATCTCAGATTTTTTCTTTCTTTTAGTGTTGCATATTTATAGCATGCCATATTTGATGGGCACCCAACATTGCTTCTGAGTTTTGCTTCAATTTACGTGAATTTTGGCTCTCTGCATTTTTCTAGAAAATTTCTCCTACATTGTTCTTGATTAATTGCCTGGTTTAATTTGTATCATGTAAGTGGTTTTTTCCTGAAGAATATGTTTTATGAATTGTCATTATATCCAACGGAGTGTTAGTTGGTACCGTCGTGTGTGTGAGTTTCCCCCTCCTCCTTCCTAACGTTGGCCAAAAGAAAATTGTCATTATAAATTGGTAAATACTCACATATATAGAAAGATTTTGATTCAAACTTCATCAGATTCCAGTAAGTATCCTTAACTGATTGATGAGCTTGATGAAATTCAGGCCATTACAAGAGAAGGCCGCTACTCTTAGGAGTGGGAGCACTAACTACAAGTCTACTTCAAGCAAGCTCCCTCTTTGCTGAAGGTATGATGCATATACTTATATTTCTATCAACTATATCCCCTGAATTATAAATTGGTAACCAATTCTCTTCAATGTGAAGAAATACCGGAAAAGTACAGAGCTTTTGTTGACAAAGAAGATGGGTATTCTTATTACTACCCCTATGATTGGAGGGTAAGAAAATCAACATAATGCAGAAGCCTAATCTTTCCCACAGGGAAAATCTCTTTCTTCATCAGAATAATTTCTGTGGTTTCATCTTTCAGGATTTTGAGTTCAGGGCACATGACTCTGCCTTCAAGGACAGATATATGCAACTGCATAATGTTAGAGTGAGATTTTTACCAACAAATAAAACAGATATTCATGAATTGGGTCCAATGGAAGAGGTAAAACCTTCGCATTTTTGTTTTTGTTTGGGTTGTTTTATATTCTCTATGAAGTTTAAGACAAGTTTCCATTTTGAACAGGTTGTTTCCGATTTGGTTAGATATAAACTGGCTTCACCCAACCAGTATGCAACTATATTTGGCATGCAGGAGGTTGTATTCTTTGCATTTATCCTCTTTAAATAGAAGAACTCTTGCACTGTACAACTCTAACATCTTCATAACTCCTGCATTGGCTATCTATGGAGTGCAGAGAAACAGAGATGGGAAAAACTATTACACCGTCGAGTATGGACTTCAAACTCCAAACTTTGCTACCAATTCCTTTGCAACCGTAGCCATTGGAAATGGTAAGTATCCATCATCTTAACAAATATTTAGATTGCACAAGAATCTACCCGGTCGAAATTCCCAGTCGGACAACCTAACATACCAAAGATTCCATGTTTTTTTCTTCTCATTTCTTGCAAGAATGAAGAAGCTAACGTAGTTCCAAAATTCAATACAACTGCATGTTCTGTCTTTACAGGGAGATTTTACACCCTAATTGTGGTAGCAAATGAAAGGCGGTGGAAAAGATACCGCAACCAGCTTAAAGTGGTAGCAGACTCTTTCAGGATGCTTGACATCTGAGATGCAATGTCATGGAGCAAGCCAATCTCCGATGTGAAATTCAGGATTTGTTTTTCGTGTTAAGGAATGAAATTCCCATTTGGTGTATATATATACACTTTCTAAGAAATCCGTTGCTATATTCTTCTTCTCGATGTCTTTGCATCAACCGATTACGGATGTACAGAATAACGAAGAAGAAGCAAAAAAGAGAGAGCATCGAATCAACTTCAACAACTGGATTAATAATGATAGGGTTAAGGTATTTGAACAGGCAAAACCCAATCTAATAATTGAAGATTCAGGGCACAAATTTCAAATCGTGGAATCAAGCAGGAGAAAATGAATAGCATTAAATAATCTATATATTTACAAAGGTTACAACAAAGAGCGAGCCAAGTAAAACTAGAATTTTAGGGAAAACCCCCGCAACCTCAGTAGAGACTTTGAATTGATACCCATTTTTCTGCTTAAAACAATCAATATACCATGGAGACGAAGCACAAACACCAACCTAACCATGCTTGCCTCCTAAAGAATTAGCCCAGGTAGCACATCCTCAAAGACCAACCAAACACCAAAAACCCTATTCCTAAACCCTAGATTTGAACAATATAACTACGAATCCGCCGCCTCTGCATTCCATGCCTCATTCTGCTATAAACATTGTTACAACCCTCAGCATCTCATTCTCATTCTCCCCAGCTTACTCTGGAACCCCACAGACAGATCCATCATCAGGTGCAGATGTCTCCAGCAATTCAAAATGAGGGAATGGGAACTATACAGACGAACCAAATCTGAATTCTCAACAATTGAAGACCCATACTAAACAAGTCGGTGTTGACGCAAACCCTTGCCAAAGTGCGGTTGCATCAAACGGACATAGAGACCATTCTTTGCCATTAAAGAATCATGGGACCCTTCTTCCACAATTCTCCCTCCATTGAGAACTACAATGTTATCAACATGCCTCATCATTGCAGCCCTATGGGCTATCAAAATGGTTGTTTTGTTCCCCATGATTAATGTATCAAGAGCCTCCTGCACCACTCGGCTTGACTCGGATTCAATGGACGAGCTTGCTTCATCCAATAACAAGATGGGAGCATTCTTTAGCACGACACGAGCAATTGCAATTCTCTGTTTCTGTCCTGGGGTCAGGTCAACACCTCTCATCCCCACATGCGTGTCATAACCATGAGGCAAGCTGCTGATGAAATGGTGAGCATTTGCTATTCTTGCAGCCTCTTTCATCTCAGCTTCGCTAGCATTGTGCCTTTTAACCATCTCAAATTATAAACTTTCAGATCTCGGCCATCCAGTAGGACTTGGCCAGCAACTGGATCGTAAAATCTCTCAATCAAAGAAATTATAGTGCTCTTTCCTGATCCTGAAACTCCCACCACAGCTACAGTTTGCCCTCCGTTTACTTTGAGACTGAAATTGCTCAGTACCAACAGTTCTGGGCGAGTTGGATAACAGAAGTCAACATTTTTCAACTCAATGCTTCCATAAACATTAGGTGGTTTCATTGCCGAGTTTTCATCTGGCTCAATCTTTGGCACTCGATCAATGATTTCAAATACTGAAATGAGAGATTTACGGCGTTTTAGTATGTAAGGAGCCAACCCAAAAGGCTCTACCAGTGCAAATGTAGCAAAAGAGAAAACCATGTACTCCTTGATAGCAGTAGGTAGATCCATGTACTTATTTTTCACAGAGATTGCAGTGTACCAGAGAAGAAGGGCGTTACAGGCAAAAAGAAGGAACTGTGAAAAGCCAAATGCAAAGCCAATGGCCATTCCATGAAAGAAACTCTGCTTAAATATTTTCTTTAGCTGCAATCTGTACAGCTCCATTACCTTGTTACCAGCACAGAATGCCACAACAGTGTAAATGTTTCTAACTGCATCCTCGAGAACCAAAGATGCGTTCCTGTGCATCTCCTGAATTCCCCTTGAGAAACCAGCAAGCCATAATTTCTGCAACATTCAGAATGAAAATAATGAGGTTTTTTTTGGGTCAAAAAACCAATGGTAATGCCTCATTAAATCAAAAGGGTACTAAATTTGACGAGGATCATAAATAACTTCTTTAAACAAGACAAAGTCACAGAACCCAATCAGACAACACTATGTAACAAACACTAACTATAACTATCTAGATTTGTATCTCTAATTCAGCCAATAGGATGATTTCATAAAAGAGAAGCCAGGCATATTATCACTTAATAGATCCCTGAAGATAATTAAAACTTAGTTTTCAAATCCACCATAGGTAAAAGGCATAATAATCATAATGCAGCTTTATAAATAATAAAAAAGGTTTCCCTTGGATTTGTGCCCTTTCCCGAGGCAGTAATGGGAAGCACTGCAAATTAGTAATTCAAATGTGCAATGGAAAAGTTTGAAGCTCCTAAGAAGTTGATTGCTTTCCACTAAATGGTGCTCACCAACACATGGGTACTGCTAATTTTGACATTAACGTTGGGAGAATAAAGAAGGGGCAAACTGCTCAACCAGAGAAACCACAATCTATTCTTACAAGAAACAGAAAAAAATATATATGTATATATAGAAACCCTAACTGTCATCCACAAGTTGACTGAACAATAAATTAAAACAAACACAACTCAACTCGTGTAGAAATATCAGGACAATTTTACATTATAAAGTAGATATGATGAAAACCTGTGCAATGGCAGAAATAGTGAGAATTGGTAGAGTTGCCAAAGCCACTAGTGCTAATCGCCATTGTAGCAACATCCCAATGAGAACAGCCACAATAATAGCAGCACTATCCTGTATAAATATTGAAAGCCGATTGCTAAAAGCAGCCCGTACAAATGTAGCATCATTTGCCAAGCGCATGGATAAGGTATCGGCACTGTTCTCTTCTTCATCAAACCATCCAGCTTCATTGCGCAGCATTGCTGTCACATGATTGCAAAATGTAAGATAAAGTGCCCACATGGTACAATGTAACATCTAAAACTAATAATAGAGAGTCACGCACCTGAGAACATCATTCTACGAACTCGTTCTGTCATTTTCTCCCCCATAATACCAAAGTAGAAATGCTGCAAGAAATTGGCAACGACTGTCACTATACCCATGCAAGCAATGATCAAGCACCATTTGTCTACTTCCTGACTCAAGTGACGACCTTCATCACCTCTGTAGTATGCTGTTACTATCAGTGCAATAACATAAGCAAGAAGAGGATTAAAGGAACCAAAGATAGCAGCACCAATGCTTCCTAACACAGCATAAAGCCACTCTGCAAAACTAAGCTGTGCAAGCCTCCAAAATGATGGTGCCTTCTTTTGATGTGTGCTTTTTTCTTCCTTCAATTTCATGGGAAAATCATCCGAATGGCTATGTGGACGGCTAAAGGTTTGTGAATGGGAACGCTCATTTTTCGGATCAGATGTCAAAAGGGGTGAAACGGGGGATTCAGGGTCCGAACCATTCGATGTCTGTTGATTTACAGACTGAACATCAATCTTGGGTAACTCAGGTAGTCTCATTTCAAAACTATCCTGCCTTTTTATCGATGGTTCCTTATCTGCTGAATCCAAGGGCTGACCATTTTCCAACATTTTCTCTGCCGGAGGACTCCTAGCGTTTGGTGACTCCTGTGAGTTAAAATTGCCATCTCCCATCCGGAACATGCCACTAGCTCTCTGAAGTGAGGGTGATTTCATCATTTTTGGAGAGGATGGTTCTTGGAAGCTATGACTTGCCGAAGAATCCTTTTCAATTTGGAAGGTTGCAGTCTCCTTGTAGTTCCTCATTGGCATCCTGTATTAACAGAAATCATAAAGACATAACTTGGTCAGAAGAAAAATGATAATCCATTTCGAAATAGAAATTATTGTGTGGTTACATACAACTCCGAACAGATAGTGCACAGATAATCACAGGAAATCTTCAACCAAGCTAAAGGAAAAACAACTGTTCTTGTACCATACCTCCTAGGAAGTTTTGCAGCCTCTTCACATTTGAGAAGCTCCGCATATAGGCCATCCAGAGTTAATAACTCATCATGCGTACCCATCTCAACTAGTTGGCCTTCCTCCATCACAGCTATATAATCAGCGTTCCTTATAAGACTAAGCCGCCGAGCTATAATTATAGTTGAACGTCCCAACATGAGGAGATCTAGAGCTTCTTGAACAGCTCTTTCAGCCTCAAAATCAAGTCCTCCAGTGACCTCATCAAGCAAAAGAATGGACGGGTTTAGAAGCACAGCTCTGGCAATTGAAAGTTTTATTTTTTGCTCTTCCGTCAATGCTAAGCCTGCTCTTCCCACCTGAAATGTGAAGATCAAAATGAATTTTTTTTTTTTTTTTTCTAAAAGTTTCAAAAGAAAAACAGCTGAGAAAGAAACTAACATAAAAACAGACATAGGTTCAATGTATATTTTGTGTTCCGAGTTTCACCTGTGTATCATATGATCCCTCAAGTGAGGTAATAAATGTATGCGCATGTGCTATTTTAGCAGCTTCTTCAATTTGATCCACTGTAGCATCCCGGCCATAAGCAATATTATCTCTTATACTCAAACTCAGCAAGGCAGGCTCCTGCGTGACTAGCCCTATCTGACTTCTAAGCCACTCCAGTTTCAGGTTCTTTATGTTTTCTCCGTCCAAAAGAACTTCTCCTGCACCACAAAATGGAAAAACCATTGGAATCTGCAAGCAGAAATTTTTGCTAAACGTTTCAGTGGAACCTTGAATGAAATAGTAAACACACCACAATGGGAAAGAAATATGACCCTCATACCTAATGTAGGATCATAAAACCGCTCCATGAGGGGGATAATACTGCTCTTTCCAGAACCATTCCTGCCGACGAGTGCCACAGCTTTCTTAGCAGGTACAGTGAGGTAAAAACCACTCAAAATCGGGATCTCAGGACGAGATAGATAACTGAAATATACATTCCGAAACTCAATATTTCCTTGCACGGTCACTAGGGTAGTTCCCTCGTGATTAACGGTAGAGGATGATCGACTTATCATCTCAAAAAGTCTATAAGCAGCAATTCGACCTTGATCAAATGAGTAGAAGTTTGTTGCTGCTTGATTCAGCCCACTGTAAATGAAGACAGAAATAACACAAAAGTATAAAGGAATAAACAATAGGCATATGTTCCTAGAGAAAAGATAATATTTATATATATATTTTTTTTAAACATAAACAAGATGCTTACAGGCCACTTAATATTACAGCAAAAAGGGCTGTTATAATTTCACCACCATGAGCTTTCCCTTGCGAAACCAGGAACCTTCCAACCCACAATTGCAAGGCACAAGAACAAATGGCAAGACCATAAGTAAATCCAAGTCCAAGTCCTTGCACAAGGCTTATCAATATGCCATATCTGAGAGTTGCTTGCAGTGATGTTGCATATGAATACTTGGCTAATGTTTCGTTTGTAAATGCATATAACGTCCTAATGTAAGAGACTGCCTGCATAATCAAGAAGTATGGAAATTTATGAAACAATGCCCTTAACCACTTTGCCAAAATGACAACCATTACATATCCAAGACTATCAGTATAAGTGATCTATCAACGCCATACTAAAAAGGAAATTTGTAACACTATTTGCAAAACAAATGATAATATGACCCCAAAAAATAGGCAAAAAGAATTCTATTTGATTCCTTGGTTAGGTAAGATGGAAATTCACTATATGAAAAACGACCATTACATATCCAAGACTATCAGTATAATTGATCTATCAACCAGACATTTCAAAGATGTGATACTAAAAAACGCAATTTGTGACACTATTTGCAATAAATATGATGATACGGCCCCAAAAAAGAGGCAAAGAAATAATTCTATTTGAGTCCGTGGTTAGGTAAGATGGAAATTCATCATATTAAATAATAAACCTGTTCTGCAATGCTAGCTGCTTCAGCATATGCATCTTGAATATTCTCAGCAAGCCTATGGAGAAATATGTTTGATATTCCTCCAGCAGCAACAATAAATGGGCCAGTGGCCAATGTTATTGCCGCAATCTGCCAACAGTTGATGAATCCAATAATGAGACCACTGAAAAATGTAGCCATGTTATGAATATAGTTCCCAACCTGCATTATCACAGTGCAATAAAAATATTAGGCAAGACACATGCACCGAGAGATCACATACGGAAGAAGTTTGTCAGGAAGAAAAAAAAATGTGCGCTTGAAAGGGGGGGCGGGGAAAGAGATGATATATTAGCTTTAGGCATACTTTTTCACTAAGAGCAGACTGAATGAGCAGCACATCACTCAATACTTGGCTCACAATGTCCCCGTTGTTTCCGTAGGTATCAAAAAAACTCATATCCTGATTAAGTAATACTTGAACATAATTTGACCTGATGACAGCAGTCTGCCTTTCTCCCGTCAGAATCCAGCATGAGACCTCTATTACATAGAAAAAAGTTAGTATAAATGCAAAGAAGCGTATTCTGTGATGAAAGAAATGCAGTGCTGACTAATTCTTCTAATGAAAAATCAATCTTACCAATCCACCCAGCAGCAAAAACGCCTGTGGCAATATAAATGATGGACAAAGCAAGCTGCAAGCAGACAATAAACCAGTTATTGAATATGTGCTCATTCCTTCAACTTCCATTTCATACATTGATACTCATTGAGAAGATGGTATAATAAAGAATACAAAAATGTGCAGAAAGACAACGAAGACTCTTGGTTTCTATAGAAGTCCAAGGAGAAAAATAGAAAAAGTTAATTTAAGTCTGAATACAATTCAGAAGCCGCCTGTTAATCAATAGATTCTTTTTGCTGTGTATTCTTATAAATTATTTCAACTAACACACATTTTTCTATAACGCAAAAGCTTCTGAACCAAGGTTTCCGGACAAAACTTTAGTTAGAATTACCTTTAAACTTAAATATATCTTTTATATACATCCACGAGGACATTCTTGAAACATTTCGTGCCTCATAATAGATAAATGACATGCTATATCTCTCTCATAATCATATAAAGTTGATAGGCGAAAAATATTAGCACCACACCCCCAAAGACAAAAATATATGTTTTTTGTGCATCAAACTATTCTCAGTATTTCAGTGTGTCAATAGATTGGGAAATGAATCAGTGGCAAAACAAATATTCCCCAAGAAAGCAAGCAACAGTTCAAACATACCATAGTAACACTTGCTTATGAACATCTGTCAGCGGTAAAACAAGTAATGAATAAGCCTATGCCCCTCATATGTGATCTTCCCTTTCTTTTAGATGATTTCAACACTACTATTAAACAACCATCTTCCTTCATCAAACAAGAGGATTCAAATCTACGCATGGAAAGTTAAGCAGCAAACAGAAATTTCTATCCCTAGTACTAAAGCTACTACAAAATCTCAAACGATTAATTGGGAATACTGCATCCCAAACTTCTTAAAGCAGCTCAGGCTAACCAAAAAAACAAAAAGAAAAAAAAAACCTACAAAAGGAAATTCGAATACTATATGTTCCACACTTAAACCATCGGTTTCCAGCTCAATTTAAACGAAGACTCACTTAATAGCACAATTTCAATCTTTTTTGTCATCAACCAAACGGAAAAAACACGTGCTAGGGTTTCGATAAATCAAAATAACTCACATCCATAAACTTCTGGAACTGCACCTCGCTAATACCAGGCTGCGGCGGCTGGCCGCCTGGCTGGTTTTTGTCCATCCAGAGTATCTGAATTATCTTCGCGAAGTAGTGCAAGTACACCACTAGAGCCGTCCCGTGAGCCGCGGCGGCGAGCGATCCAACGGTCATGAGAACCCAATCGAGGCGGTCCGCGCAGGTGAAGAGCCGCGAGAAGGGCACGGCGGCCGGCGGCGGCTCGATCTCCTCCGGCTCCTCCATCTCCTCCTCCTGCTCCATCGGCTGGGCTGACGCGTCGACACTCTGGTCCATGTACGGCGACGGCGACTCGGGCGGCTCGGACACCTCGGAGACCGGCGTCAAGGGCTGTATGTGCGGGGGCGACCACCCGAACAGCCCCCGAGAGATCATCATCTTGGCGGTGGAGAAATTACCGCTGTGTCCCTAGCTCGCTCCCTGTCCTCCTGCTACAGCTCCCTCTGTCCCAAAAACCCTAAACCTAATTGTACGTATTTTTCTCGCTCCCTCTAAATTTAGCGGGATCTGTGCTAAATTTAGAGGAGATTTTGATGTTTTGATGTTTCGGTTTCTCTGTGATTTTCTGCTGTTTTTTGCTTTTTCGAAAAGCAGCAGAAGAGAGGAGACGAAGAAGACGAAAAACAACGAGTCGTCGATGGGCTGGCGACTCGGTCAAACAAGGCGGAGAAAGACAAACAAGGAAGAAGCCGAAGCAGAAGCAGAAATATTGACTCCACGCACACCCACTGTCACATACCCAAAAAATAAAATAAAATTTCAAATATGCGAAAATGAAAATGAAAACATCGTTCTTCTTCGTATTTCTGTTTTGGTTAACGGTCAAACGCCGGCGATGAAGATGTGCGTTTTGGAGGGATTTGCACCTGGGTCATGTTTTTTGGGGGTAGTTTGGTAATTTGGCGGGGAATGATTGTGTTGGTAAATGTGTGAACAGCTGTGTGAGGTCTGGTGAAATTACGTCGGAGTCCAGGGGGGTGGGAGGGGGGAGTATCTTAAAGACTAGCGTACCTCCGATTGTGTCTCTGAATTTACATGTTTATCACATCGAATACCTCGAAAGAACAATTCTCCGCCAGAAAATTGCTTGCCCAAGCAAACATTCAAGGTGACTTCTGAGTCATCCACATGAAAACCTACAATATAAAGCTACCGTGGTCATAAAAACTTAAAAATCCATAAATTTAGCGCCCATGGCTTCAAGATGAAGACAGACAGAGGAAGTAACAGACACATTACTGAACAAATTGAACGCAATTATGAAAACATAAATAAGGAGAAATCATATCAGCTAAACCAAGATTCAAAACTGGTGTGAGAAAAAAAAAATCATAATAAGTAGAACTAACTGCCTTTAGATATTAAAGCCTCAGTGTTATGCTGCAGTCTAGAGCATAACTCCCTGGAGTAGGCGGGGGGGGTGGGAGGGGGGAGGGTGACACGTGTGGATTTCGGTGATATGGGCGGAGAGGTTAGTTGGGCTTTCGCTTATATTTAAATGGAATTCTTTAAATAATTTTTTTTGGGAGTCTATGAGGTGTCATGTGTGTGAGTAAGAGTGTAGGAGGAGGAGGAGGAGCAAAAAGAGAGATATGATTGCGAAGGAGAAAGGGATGAGAATTCTTTTTCTTTTCTTTTGGTGCCAGTGCATTTGCTCTGTTCCCTCTCATTCTTTTTCATTTTGCCTTTTGGGTTGGTAGGTACCATTTCTTTATTGGAGTAATGTTGCCAAGGTGTTCTCCCTTTTCCTTCCTCATTGAAAGAAAAAAAATATTGTTGAGGGACATATCTTAATGTGTTATATTGTCACACACTCTGGAAATTGTCAATCATAATGCGAATTCAAAATTCAAAGATAATGCCTATGTTTTTGCATAACTTATGAGAAAGTTTGTTGCTTTGTTTCCAAGTTTTGTTGAAGTTACGTTCGACAATAATTTTTGACAATTCATACAAGTTATGTTCAATTTGTAATTATTATTTGGTCTTGTGGTGTCTGGTTTTCAAATATTACGAACGACAATTGTTGAATTATCTTAACATTTGAAGCTTTTACTTTCTTCCTACTCATCTTTATATTCATCGAAAAACATGGGAACCACCACGGCACCACTTCATTATGTTAATTTTAAGTTGCTTGTGTCGCCTTGATTTGATGTTGAGCTTGCATCTGTAATTAATCAACAATAATCCGGCAGCAAAGTCTTAAGTAGTTAAAAAATCAAACCAACTTTTCTTAAAAGCATTTTATTACCATTTATTGGCTTTTTGGTTGATATAATGTAGAATTCAATTCAATTGTGTTAGCTTAGTGTTATGCTGCGCAATCATGATGAAAGCAAAGTTGTTATGTTTATTGCATTCTAAGAAACACATATTATAGAAAGAAAAAAAAAATCATCCTGCATAATTTCTTTTGATTATTATCATTGAACTTCATCAACACGATTAGTTGATAATAGATCTGAATTAACATGATTGACTTGATAACTAATTATATGTATTTGGAACATCAATAATAAACACTGGGATATGAATCTGAGACTGACAACTGTTTTTTTTTTTAATTACGAAGAGGATCCGCTAAATTCCTCACATCATACCTTAGTTTTAAAGAAATAGATAATGGAAATTTTGAAAACCAACAATATGTCATCAAAAGGTTCGAATTTTATACAAATCTTGTGACAACAATATCATTAGTAAACTTCCCACATACATCATGAAAAAAGAGCATTTGGTTTATATCCGAAATCCTATGATAGATTCTCCCTCCTTCAATATTACTTGTATAAAAAAAATGGTTAAAGTTAATACAAATTTATAAATAAACCCAATCCTAGACATGTATTTATAAAAAAAACCCAAGCACTATTTAAACATAGAAACACACCCAAAATCAACCTCAAAGTCAACTTTTTGGGTGTGTTTATAAATGAGTTTTGAGTGTGTGTAATAATGGGTTTTGGGTGTGTTTATATGTTTAAATAGTGCTTGGGTTTTTTTATAATTTCAACTTCCATTTTGGGTGTTTTAGTGAAACTCCCTAAAGTTAATTGGGTTTTTGTTTCTAGGTAAAAGGCCCATTCGGTGGCGTTTTTAGAGTCTCTTTTCACTTTCTTGGTGCAAAAACGGGTGGAATATGCGTTCGGTGGGGAAGTCTAAAAACACAGGAAACAACTTCATTTTGACGTTTCCAGCGTTTTTAGAGAATGCAGATTCAGCATTTCCAAAAGCAAGATAGAATCGAAAATTAATTGTCACCGCCATAATCAAACCTCAACCACCGAACGTCCACCATCAAACCCACCACCGACACCGCTATCAGACCATCGCCACCGCCACTGCTCCTGCCACTGCCACCAAACCTCACAGACCCAGTCCCCACATCACCACCACCTATCAAACCCAGTCGACAACACCACCACCACCATCCCAATTGAATCACCACCACCAAACACCCAATCCAACCCAATACACATCATCGCCACCTAGTAAAAACAATCGGCACCAGCACCTCCACCACCCATACCCAATAGAAGCACCATCACCACCCAATCAAACCAGCACTATCAATCCAATTGAACAAGCACAAAACCCATCTACCTGATTTTTGCTGCTAGCAGAATATGACCTTAAAACTTTGATAATGAGTGATAATAAAAACAAGAGGTTGTTTATTGAGATCTCAAAGTTCTCTGAGGTGTTTAGTTAACAAAAAATTGTGAGAGAGAGAGAGAGAGAGAGAGAGAGAGAGATGCGGTGTATTTGTTCGTTACCTCTATTTATTTTATCAACCTTTCCTTTGTTTAAGAGTGAGGTTTCCCTTGACCAAAAAAAAAAAAAAAAAGAGAGTGAGGTTTCCCTTTAGCCAAGGGGTTAGGTCTAGCGGATATAGACTAGTTTCTGCAGTTGGGAATTGGGTGGCCATCGAAACCGAAAAACCGATTAACTGAATTAAATCTGACCAGAAAAAATTGAAAAAAATCATGTTGACCAAAAAGTCAAACTCAATTCAAAAAACCAAACCTAATCGGTTCTAATCGAATTCTGTTCTGATTCTATACCCCAACAAACCGAATCGAGCATAACCAAACCAATCGAATTAAAAAATATATAATTTTAATATTTATTTATATCCAATGCTATATTTTTAATCTCATAACTAATATTTACCCAAGTTCAATTTCAAAACATCTATCTTTCCTAGCCTTAATATTTCTCGTTGTATGAAATTGAATAATTTGTTAATTTTTGAACAAAAATAAAATAAAAATTCAGTTTAAATTTGTATAAAAAATAATTTGAGAAAATAATAATAATAATCCAGTTCAAAACCGAACTAGACCGAAACTAAACCGAAACCAGTTCAACTCAAACCAAACAGTTTTATAAATTTTTTTGTTAAAACCAAACCGAATAAATAGTATTTGATTCGATTCCAATTTGAGGCAAAACCCGGTCCAAACTGAACCGTGCCCACCCCTAGTTGGGCGAACGAAGTTTGAAACCCAGTGTGTGAAGAACACCCCTTGGGGAGAGCTTTACAATAAACAGTCCCAACTCGAAGTGGTAGCACACTTTGGTTCACCAAAAAAAAAAAGAGTGGGGTTGAAGTTGTTTCTTATTAGTTTTTTTAAAGATAATTCTTTTTTTATACATAAAATTGTGTTATAGTTTTTTTTTATAAGACATTAACAAAAATGCTTTTGAAATATAGCTCACATATTATTATTATCAAATTGTAATAGCAGACACATTTTTATTGTTTTTATTTTCTAAATATGTTTTCTAATTAATCCACCAGATGCATTCTCGAATCCTGAAAATGCAATTTTATTTTCTCATTTTCATTTTCTGAAAATATTATCAAAAAAACATCATCCGAAAACATTACTAGAGAAGCCTATTTTTAAGTTTTAACAGTAATATTTTATCTTCTCTCTTTTATTTTCTGATGTGGCAAACAAAAGGTCTTAACGAACAGCAGCCAGTACAGGTGGCTCAACGAGTATAACAGATAAGTCGTCCAAACGGACAAGGAAATAGATAAGGTGATCTCCACACACACACTGAGTCCAGTGTTGTTCCTGATTCACTCACAAAATTCACAAACTCCCTAAAAAACCACTGGCAATGGCGACCCTGCAGAACTCACCTCCCCTCCACAGGACCCTTGTGCTCAACTCTTTCACTAAGGTTCTCAAATCCCTCTCTCTCTCTTGTTTTCCATTGTAGCTCTATGAATTCAATGAGTGTTTGTGTTTAAATTTTGTTTCTTTTTCACTTGGGTAATATTTTTTTGGGTTTTATGGCATCAGTTGCATAAGCAAAGCACATTCCATTGCTGTAGAAGAAGCAATTCGTTCTTGGTAAGAGCAGAGCATACTCCAGCATCTTCAACATGCTCTCCTTCTCAAGGTCCTTCTTGCTTTATACCCATATTTGTGGAATTTAATCTGCATTACTGTTACATATTAATATTATTGCCCTTTGTAAATTGTAATCACTCATTCATGGTAGAAGTAATAATCTTTGGCAGTTTTAGGCACAACTTTTGGCTTTTGTATTATATTGATTGATTGATGACATTGGGTACCCATCATTTTTGTTTTTGAATTTCCACCTAAGTTTGTGTTTATCTTTGGCAGATAGATCTAGGAGACGCCAAGTACTAGCTGCAGGGACAATTGCTTCTTGGGTTTTTCTAACTAATCAACATTCTGTGTCATGTAAGGAATTTTAACAACTTCGATTGTTCTGTACTTTGTCCTTTCAAGTTTAGCTTTGTTGTACCAGGTTTTCTAGATTCCATGCTAAATACTAGATAGTGTTCATGTACTAGCAACAATGCCCATTCTGTGCAGTGCG